AATGTATTCACATTACCATATATAGCTGCAATGTTATTCACATTACCATGTATGGCTGTGTTGTATTCACATTACCATGTATGGCTGTGTTGTATTCACATAACCATGTATGGCTGTGTTGTATTCACATTGCCATATATGGCCGTGTTGTATTCACATTACCATATATAGCTGCAATGTTTTTCACATTGCCATATATGGTTGTGTTGTATTCACATTACCATATATAGCTGCAATGTTATTCACATTACCATGTATGGATGTGTTGTATTCACATTACCATATATAGCTGCAATGTTTTTCACATTGCCATATATGGCTGTGTTTTATTCACATTACCATATATAGCTGCAATGTTATTCACATTACCATGTATGGATGTGTTGTATTCACATTACCATATATAGCTGCAATGTTATTCACATTACCATGTATGGCTGTGTTGTATTCACATTACCATATATGGCTGTGTTGTATTCAGATTGCCATGTATGGCTGTGATGTATTCACATTGCCATGTATGACTGTTGTATTCCATGTATGTATGGGGTCTAAAAACTAACTCTACGACGTGATTCTGCGACTCGCCGAATGTCGATTATTGACAGGGTCGCAGTGTCACTCTGCGAAGAGCACAATTCCTATTGATTGGTGGGTCGAACAGCGCGAATCCAAATGGTCGATGTTCATCGCATGCCTTATAAAAAATTAAGTTTTAAATGGTAATCAAAGAAAGCTTAGAAAGAACTCCCATGTGCTGAGAGTATTGGAGACACATTAAATATAATTTGAAATTACTTAGCTGAAAACTAGTTATGCAAATCAGAAAATTAACATGAACAGATTTGATTGTAAAACTAATGAGGTCTGCGCAATGTAACAAAAACTCTATGTACCAAGTTTAATTGAAATGTGATTAGAACCAAAAAATTATGAATTATTATGCTAATTAGGGAAATAATATGAACAGAGTTTTACCCCAAACTAATTAGGTTTGTACATTGTCCTAGAGCATCTTTGTACTAAGTTTCATTAAAATGGAAATTAGTACTTTAGATATCAGTGTGAAAGCTTAAAATTGGTTAATTATGCAAATTGGGTAATTAATATGTACAGATTTTAACCCACAATTATCCAGGTCTGTCTATTGTCCTACAGCATCCATGTATAAACATTCATTGATATGTGATGATTAGTACCTGAGATATCAGTGTGAAAGTTGGAAATTGGTTAATTATGCAAATTAGGTGATTAATATGCACAAATATTTACCAAAAACTAATTGGGTCTCTGCATAATTCTAGATTCATTGAAATGTGATGATTAGTACTTTTAGATATCAGTAGAAAAGCTGAAAATTAATTATGCAAATTAGGTAATTAGTATGCACAATTATTTATCCGAAACAATCAATCTCTGCATAGTCCTTGAGTATGTAAGTACCAAGTTTCATTGAAATGTAATGCTCACTACTTATATCAAAAGCTGAAAATTAATTAATTATGCAAATTAGGTAATTATATGTACTGATATTACCATAAAAACTATCAGGTCTGTGCAGCATCATATGGCATCTATGTACCAAGTTTCATTGAAATGTGATGATTAGTACTTGAGATATCAGTGGAAAAAGCCAAAAATTCATTAATCATTATGTAAATTAGGTAATTAATAATATTAACAGATTTTTACCCAAAACTAATCAAATCTGTGCATTAGTTCAGAGCATCTATGTGCCAAGTTTCATCAAAATCCAATGAGTGGTTCTTCAAATCTCAGTGGACCAGTCATGGAACAGCTTGAAATCAGTTAATTATCATTCCAATTAATTAATAATATTAACAGATTTTTACCCAAAACCTAATCAGCTCTGCGCATTATCCCAGAGCATCTATGTACCAAGTTTCACCAAAATTTGATTAGTGGTTCTTGAGATAACAAAAAAAGTGACATACATACATACATACATACATACATACATACATACATACATACATACAGACATACAGACAGACATACAGGGTAACTGCAAAGACTCCCTTTTGTGCTTCGCACACAGGAGTCAATAAAAACACTGAAAAATGGTGGTCATTCTGTGTCGATATGGACCATAAAAACAGTTTGTAAGATAATTTCCATGTATCCCATTTGTCCAATACCATTTGTCTTTGTATCCCATATTCAAACAAACTGCTAATCTCAAACATCAAAAAGATGACACATTCTTACCTTTTTCACAGTAAGGTCCGACAAAGTTATCTGGACAATCACATTCATGACCTCTGTCTGTGTAGTAACAGATGCCTCCGTTATCGCAAATGTTGGTTTTACACGTCTCAGTGTTCGGTGCAAACTCACAAGTTGGTCCAGAGTATCCAGTAGAACATTTACAAGTAAACTGATTAAATCCATTGAAACATGTGCCACCATTTTTACATGGATTACCAAAGCATTCATCAATGTCTGCAAGAAACCAAATAACGGAGAACTGATGATATTTAATTCTGTACAAATGTAATTTAGGTGGAATCAGCAAGTGTGTAGAATTACCAAGGTTAGGCTATATTCTATATAGTAAGACCATGAGTAAGGTATGGTAAACGTTACCTAGGTTACAGTCTCGTCCAGTGAATCCAGGAAGACAGGAACACATATAATCTGTGTTAACATTACTACAGGTTGCTCCATTTCTACACGGGAAACTGGCACATTTGTTGGTTTCTGAAATATGAAGTTAGATTAAATATTGGTTGTGGATCATGATATCAGCTATAAATGTTTTTCTTCAGACACCATTATTGTGGGTTTCATTTACAGGGTTTAAGCTTAGTTGAAGCAACCACACCAGACCATGTAATATGGATAAAGTCAAAATTAATCTCAATCAATGGCTAGATAGCTGAAAAATTAAAATATTAATGTTTTGCTCAAACAAAATTTTATTATAGGTCATGTGACCAGTCATGTGACCATGTGCACTCATTCAGTGCAAACATTATCATTTTGTCAGAAATATTCATAAATATGCCAGAAAATGCACAATAAAACAAAACAGATGAGATAAACCTACCAGTTGGTGCATCACAGTTGGTACCAAACCAGCCAATCTCACAAGTACATGTAAACTGATGATTGCCATGATCTACACAAGTACCACCATTCAGACATGGGTTACTCATACACACATCAATCACTGAAATGAACAGAAATTAAACTGACATTATTAAAAAATATACAATATTTGTAATTATGTTGGTAATTCTTTGGTGTACTCAAGACAAATGACTGAAATATGACATTACAAACTACAATTGTTGGAATTCTATTAAACTTGACAATAACAGCCGACTCAGAAGTGAATCTGGGGTATCTTGTATCTGGAGTTATTACAGTAAGTTAGTCATGGTTGTACAATAGGGCCTAGTTGAGAAAATATTCTGGTAATAAATTATAAAACAAAAGTGGTCAACAGTCAGCCACACTGTTCCATATCACAAAAAACAACATCTTTTTTGGAACATGGAATAAAGTCCATCAAATCTTTCTATCTATTAAATGACATAGAATGCACAGAGATAGAGGCTGTATAACCAAGCCAGTACTATACTAAGTACTAAGGATTCATGTTACATGAGTTGCTATAAATGAAGAGAATTATTTTCAGACATTACCGGTACTTACCAACACTGAATTGATCTTCAAGTGATAAAGAAAATCCCCGTTCAGTCTTAGAGCTGTCCGACTGGAACACAATCCAGATCCGACCAGACGCAGTATATATGTTTTCATTATCCTCATCATTCTTTCCCGATAAGTGTAAAAATCGTGTCCCTATATCATTGACATCAACACCATTACCAATATCTAAATAATCATATCTGTTTTCCAGGATGAAATCCTTGATTGTGATACGGATACGGTTACTGGAAGGCGGGTTGATGTACCAACGACAGTAATCATTGTTGTTGTATGAAGAAGGATAGTTAGGAGAGTGAATTTCTAGTGCTCCCCCGGTAGGTATAGTGTAGTTAACTAGGCAGCCAACAGCTGAAATACAATACAATATATATATAAATGTATGAGATGATTGGAGATACCAAAATGCAGGGGTGGACCATTTTATAATTGGGAGGGCCCAGTTGTCAAAAATGATCTGTTGTTCATAGTTGGCAGAGATTACTGATAAGTGAATAAACATTCTTACCCGTTTCACAGTTGACTCCAGTCCAACCTTGAGGGCAGGTACACAAATAAGCATTTACCAAGTTATGGCATATACCACCATTGAGACAGGGAGCAGCTGCACACAGATTCAGAGCTGCAAGAATAAAGACAAATTGATTGGTTAATGACAATCACATGACCCATTACATATACTA